AACACCTTGACTGTGTTGAAGTTAGTTGAAGCTTGTGCTTCTGAAAAGCAGCTACAGTAAATAAATCCCCCATCCTTTTGTGTTCCTTCCATCTCATTTTGTAGACTCCATTGTCCAGGCTGGAGTCGAGTGGAGCGATCTTGGCTCACTGCAACCTCTGCCTCCTGGGCTCGAGTGATTCTCATGCCTCAGCCTCCCAAGTAGCTGAGTTACAGCCACGGATGCCATGATGGCCTGCTAATTTCTTTTATGTATATTTTACGTAGACAGGGTTTCACATGTTTGTTGCGTCCAGGCCATGTCTAAATTTTATTATTTTTTTATGAGATGGAGTCCCCTCGCTCTGCCGCCCAGGCTAGAGTACAGATGGCCCAGGACCTCAAGCTCACATGTGAGCTCTGCCTCCCCGTTATACGCACATTCTCCTAGGGCCTCAAGGCCCCCTTGAGTAAGCCTGGGGCTATAGCATGCCACCTCGCCCGGCCTGTTTTATGTGTATTTGTTTAGTAGGACAGGGTTTTCACCGTGTTATGCCAGTATGGTCCTCCAATCTCACTGACCCTCGTGATCTCCCCATCTCGGCCTCCCAAAGTGCTGGGATTACAGGCTTAGGCCACTGCGGACCGCCGATCCCAGCGACTGGTCTTAACTCCTGAACATGATGACATGCCCGCCTCGCCTCCCAAAAGTGGCTGGGATTACAGTGTAGCCAGCCACGCGCCCAGCGAGAAATGGTGATCCATTAACGCACTACCCTGCTCTGGAATATCCTGAGATAACCACCTTCACATCTTCCTCACGTGACTCAGATTAAGACCTTCTCCATCCTTCCTCTCATGAAAAATCCCCTTGTTTACTCTGGATCTACCCCAGGTCTCCTCCTTTTTTTTGCTTGGAACCCGGAGTTTCAGTCTTGTGGCCCAGGCTGGAGTGCAGTGGCGCGATCTCCGGCTCCAACCGCAACTTCCGCTTCCCAGGTTCAAGTTATTCTCTGCCTCCACCTCTCCCGAGGCGCTGGGATCACAGGCACGCGCCACCACATCCAGCTAATTTTGTATTTTTAGTAGAGACAGGGTTTCTTCATGTTGGTCAGGCTGGTCTCGAACTCCCGACCTCAGGTGAGCCACCTGCCTTGGCCTCCCAAAGTGTTGGAATTACAGGCATGAGCCGCTGTGCCTGGCCTTTATGTGCATTTTACCACAATTAAAAATTCATCTTGCAGAGAAATGCAATGAAAGTAATTTTATTCAAAACAATTAGAACCCCTATATGTGCTGGGTGATAGGTTGGCGTTAGGGAAATGGGTGTGGCCTGAGATAGGAAATGAGTAAGACCTGCTTCCTGTGGTCCTGGAGCTCCCAGCCTTGCTGCAGAGACAAACCCATAATCTGTTAATTGAGCGCCATAATTCCAGGTGACACACATTATAGTGCACATGCATACCACCTGATTTTAGTCAGGATGCAAAGGGCTTTGAATGCTACACTAAGGACTTTCGATTTTGGTAATTGGGAGTTATGAATAGTTTTTTTTTTTTTTGAGACGGGGTCTCGCTCTGTTGCCCGGGCTGGAGTGCAGTGGCCGGATCTCAGCTCACTGCAAGCTCCGCCTCCCGGGTTTACGCCAGGCTGGTCTCAAACTCCTGACCTCAGGTGATCCGCCCACTTCAGCCTCCCAACGTGCTGGGACTACAGACAGGTGCCACCACGCCTGGCTAGTTTTTTTTTTTTTTTGTATTTTTAGTAGAGACGGGGTTTCACCCTGTTAGCCAGGATGGTCTCAATCTCCTGACCTCGTGATCCGCCCGTCTCGGCCTCCCAAAGTGCTGGGATTACAGGCTTGAGCCACTGCGACCAGCCTATGAATGGTTTTAAAGCCAGTGTATGACATGAACAGATTCATTGCAATTCCTGAAGTCTTAGCACCAGACATTTGACATTGGAGGTTCTGTGACAGGCTGGGCACCATGGCTCACGCCTGTAATCCCAGCACTTTGAGAGATGAGATGGGAGGATTGCTTAAGGCCGGGAGTTCAAAACCAGCCTGGACAACATAGAGACCGCCATCTTTAGAAAAAATTTTAAAAATTAGCTGAGGCTCACCCAGCAGTTTGAGGTTGCCATGAGCTATGATCACAGTATTGCACCTCAGCCTGGGTGATGGATTGAGACTCCATCTCTTCTTTTTTTTTTTTTTGAGAAGGATCTGCTGCCCAGGCTGGAGTACAGTGGTGCGATCTTCTCGACTCACTGCAACCTCCACCTCCTGGGTTCAAGCGATTCTCCTGCCTCAGCCTCCTAAGTATCTGGGATTACAGGCACCCGCCACCACACCCGTTTACTTTTTTTGTGTGTGTGTGTGTATATATATATATATGTGTGTGTGTGTATATATATATATAT